AGGTCTATAAAGACAGCGGTTGAGCGTGTTTGGTGTGGAAGAACTTAACTGGCCTGCACAGAGTCCTGACCTCAACCTGATAGAACACCTTTGGGATGAATTAGAGCAGAGACTGTGAGCCAGGCTTTCTCGTCCAATATTACTGTCTGACCTCACAAACGCGCTTCTGGAAGAATGGTCAAAAACTCCAATAAACGCACTCCTAAAACATGTAGAAAGCCTTCCCAGAAGGAGTGTGCTGGATAAAAGTTATAAGAATAAATAAATCATTAAAGCAATATAGCCTGAAATGTCTCAAACTTTGCCTTCTGTATTGTTTTTGAACTGGTGAAACCTCATAATGAAAGGATAAAAATGTAGGCTAAGGCCTAAATCAGTTTAGCTAACATATTCCTTATAGTCATTTAATTTTGTAAACATTTTGTAATACCAAGTTGGAAAACTAAACGATCATTTCTGACAATATTCTTATTTTTACCTTGAATACAAAGATGTCCGTTAAAATTACCCAAAACCATCTGGTGATCAGGAGGTTTTAAGTCTTCTATGCAGAGTACCAGCATGTATATGCTTACACTAATCCATTAAACATTTGTACAGAAAGATTATATAGATTTGACATAATGTAGTTTGTGAATGAGGCCCATTTACACACTGCAACATACCACTTTTCATAGATTTATATAATGTATGTTTATATACATACTGTTAAAGGGAAATGACTGGTCCCATACAATAGACAAAAAAGGGCAATATAGGGACTTGTCTCAGAAGGTAATGAAGGTTGTTTAACACTATTCATGTTCAGCCTTTGCTTCATACAAAAATCCTCATTTGAGTTGTTATTTTTCCAAAATAAGTTACCCAAAAGTCACAAAAGAATATTTATGACTAAGAATCACAAAGCAGCAATTCAAAGTTTCTTCATGATGGTAAAATTATTTTTGTTGCCGTTTTATTGACGCTTCATTAAACACTGCCTCACCTGGTTGGCTGCAGAACCGCCGCCTTTGGAAATGCTGGTCTGCTCTTTGCCTGTATACACACAAAGATGGAAATTAGTTTCTAACAGTACTCTTATTTTCAGTGTACAAGTAGTCAACAAAAAGCTGACGATGCTACAGAACTTTAGCATACCCATTATGTTAAACACTGACATTAGGCAGATAAAACATCTTAAGTATTAAAATGGTCCTCCTGGGATACAACCACTCTAATTCAATCTACTTAGTTCCTCCTGAACAAAATAAAAAGAATCTGAGGCCGAGAGCACTGATCCAAACTGAAGTCAGATCTAGCCTCAGCAGTCAGGAAAAGAGGTGAGTGAACTGAAAGCGGCACAGCATTCAACAAACCAAATGGACTCAGACATTTTAACTTCAATTTAAAAGAAAAAAAAAAAAAA